ATGTTGTTGTTGGTATACTGAAAGATGACCAGCCTCGAGATATATTCCTATTGGCATGTGAGGTGTTGGAAAAAGTGAATAATTCTTCCATTGCTGTTGTTTTCGACAATGCGATGAATTTGCTGTGGCCAAATAAGGTAGAACGAGAGAATGTGCTCCTCTTCTTAACGGATGCCGCTCCATATATGGTAAAGGCAGCAAAGGGACTTCAGGTACTGTATCCCAAAATGATTCATGCAACGTGTCTCGCACATGCTCTGCATAGGGTAGCAGAAGAGGTGCGAGAGAGCTACTTTGATGTAGATAAATTAATAGCAAATGGGAAGAAAATTTTTGTTAAGGCTCCACTTCGATTGCAGAAGTTTAAAGAAGAGGCTCCATCACTACCCCTTCCCCCTAAGCCTATTCTAACACGATGGGGGACTTGGCTCGATGCTGCAGATTATTATTGCACACACTACAGTGTGATTGAAAATATCTTCATGAAGTTTGACAGAGATGATTCATCTTCAATTCGAACTGTACAAAATTTGTTTTCATCAACCACGTCAAGAAATCTAGCGTACATAAAATCAAATTTCAGTGTGATATCAAAATCCATCATTAGACTTGAAGCTGTGGGCATGCAACTGTGCAATGCATTACAAATTGTTAAGAAAGTTGAAAGTGAACTACATCAAGCACGGGGCGAAGTTTCTGTGAAAATTAGTGCAAAATTACAAAATGTGCTCCAACGAAATCCTGGATATTCAACACTGTGTACAATTTCTGACATTCTTTGTGGCAAAGAAGTTGAATTTGACAACAGTGAATTAGAACTTGACGCAAGTGATTTGACTTGTTTTAAGTATGCCCCTGTGACATCTTGCGACGTAGAAAGGAGTTCCTCCAAATACAAGGCCACTGTTAGTGACAATCGGAGGTCCTTCAAGTTCGAGAATTTGAAAATGCATGTTGTCATTCAGTGCAACTCTACTGAAAAGGAAGATTAAGGTACCGTACAAATTATTTACCTGCAACTATTGGCACACTTTACTTTACTTTTCACGCTAAAATAAACAGTACTTTCATTCATGTTTTCTCTTTACAGGGTCAGCATTGTGTTGTGATGGATGCTTCACGGCTTAAAGACATTTATTCAGAAAAAATTACTTTGTACACTTTTCAATAAAACGCCATTCAGCTTTTCTCTTTGTGGGGTCAGCAATGTGCTGTGATCGAGGCTTCAGAGCTTAAAGATATTTATTCAGGACAAAATAACTTTGTAAACTTCTTAATAAATTGCCATTCTTAGGAATTTTTGTTAAATATTTACTTATTTTTTGTGGGCCATTCTGTCACATTTTGCCATTTTTAGGTCATAAATGCATGCATATTTTCAAAGTTTTAGGTCATAGAAATCCGAGACCTACTGATCAGGTTTCCTATTTTATTGGTCCCTAGTGTCAAGTCGCTAACCTCCTGTCTATTGCAAACCACAAAGGTAGGCTCGCTATCTTGGTTTAGAATATTAAGGCTCGAACTCACCAAACATTCCATGAGGCATTCTCCTCTTGGGTTCATGTCAGTGCTTCCCAAAAATGTGTGGTACTCGTCGGCATCACACCCAATGATGAGCTGCTTTTTCTCAAGATGACAATATTCAGCGATATCCATCACTTCTTTGGAAGGCGGTTGTTCGTCCGAGTAATATGGAAGGTAGGCTGAAGTGACGATGAGCTCCTCACAGCCTCCGCCAAATGTGTATATCGTCCTCACCGTTATTTTGTCTCTGGAACAGAATTAAAGCAAGGGTAAAGCATTAATATGATTATTAACATATATGCATGATCTCGCAGTTTCTTCAGGAGCCACAGTGTAGACTGTTCCCCCTGAATTTGTTGAGCCTCTTAATTGGTCACTTATATCCAAGGTTCCTGGATAAGTGCTACGTCTACTTTTCCTTCAGCAAATTGTAGACATAAAATTGCCGTAGCAGCCTGGATGTGGCGTAGATTAATTTGAATGATTCTTATTTTATATGTAAATGTCTTGTGTGTATGTATGTATGTATGTATGTATGTTGTGTGTTCATTTTGGAATGCTGGGAAAAGTGTCCTCCTAAATACCTTCTTCCACAGCCCCTTTCATTTTATCAGACCTGGATTCCCCTGAGGGAGGTCCCTGATCTGGTAAGGTCGGGTTAACGATAGGAGGGACTGTCTCTTTCTCGTCAGATGTTCTCTTCCGGTCAACTGAGGGAGTGGGTATATCATCCCCCTCCCCCTCAGAGACCGAGTTGAATAGTATTGTATCTGATACGTGTTCTGCCCGGCGCTGATCCTCAGGATCATTCAGCACCTTAACAGACCCTGTGAGAGTCCTGTGAATATTTTGTAACCGGTCCTCTGTATAGTAGTACAAGGGTCCTGGTCTACGAAAAGATAAGCCTCTGGCTTTTCGACTCAGATTGCTTATCTAGTACCCTCCAGTTCTCTGTATGAAGTCCTGGATTGAGGTCTGCAATCAATTTCAGCAGCTCTTTCTGGTTCTGGGCAACTTTGTCCCTAATCCGGAGAGCCACTTTAACAGGCTTGGGCAGGTTCCTGGCATCAGTAGCTTTCAGTCTGGCCCCTGATTCCAGCCTGTGGTTGTCAATGGCTTTGGTGAGCCATTGACCAGACTGTCGGTCGGCGCATCCAGACAAGGCTTCTTTTTCGCTAGACGGAGTCCACCTACTCCAGCGACTAGGTATCCCAGTCCTTCTCCTACTGTAGGTATGCTAGAGATACTAGCCCCCCTGTAGTGGTATGTCAGTACTACTAACTCGCAATAGAGTTTTCGGTTTTAACTCAGGCTCCGAACCACTGGTTCGTCCCTGCCTTTGGCTGAAAATTCAACAGCAGGTTCGCTGTCTGCACCTAGGTCCCCTAGTTGTTCACCAGAGCTTCCAGCCCCTGCTGAAGCCTTTATCGTAGGGATACCACGAGTTTTGGGGATTTAAAAGGTCGCCACCCGCAGCTCCCCTTACGGGTGGAAGGTATAAATTCAACGGGGTGTTGACTGGTGTCCCGAGGGGATCGTTCAAGACACTTGCTGATTACCACCCTAGTGTCATGCAGCCCTCAGCACGATGCCTCACACCTCGGCTTAGGTGGTTTGGTCCTGTAGTAAATGAAACCATCACAAGCCTCCAGGACCAAGAATGCCTGTTCGGGGGGAGAGGGGTATCCCAGATGATTAATAGGAGTGCGACGCCAGTTAGTCATGAGTTGCGACCAGGGTAACCTGCATGAGAGAGTCGCCCCTGAGGATTGCTTATGAGCTCCCCCCATTCCCACCCCTCCACGTGGGTTGGTCAAACCGTTTTAGTGTTCAACCCTAAGACTTGCGGCACCTTATCGCTACTCTAGGGAGACAACTCAAATAGCCGAAGCTACCCCCATCTGAGTGCTTTCCCGCATTCGTCCCAGGTACGCCGTAGTGAATCGTAAGGGTCATTATGCCGTCGCGTGGGAGGCTGTGGTCATAAAGCCATCGCCCTTTATGGGAACTTGGCTGCCAGCCCCGCAAGGGGGCTGTCGTTGTCCGGCGGGACCACGAGGAGGCGTCCCGAAGCTGTGTGCCAACGCATCCCTGGTCCATGATGCGCCCCACCAACCTCACCGAGAATGGCGTCATTAACACCTCTATCATGTGACATAAAAACGTCACAGTTACCCCGGGATCAAACCCGGGCCGAGCAAGGTATGCAACTCCGTGAGCATTTCCATTTTATAATTGTTCCCAAGATGCATCCCATCATCGTAAAATTTCCTCATTCGGATCTATTACAAGTCGTATTTAGTCAATTAACATCCTCACAATCCATTTTTAGCCCACTTCCCTAAAGTAAGTTTATGCGATCTGCATGCTCTTCAACCAGTCTGAAACTTGGTATGTTTATCATGGCTCTTGAGTCTACCTCAACAGCACAAGCCTATGTGTCTACATGTGTATGCTGACAACGGCACGGTAAAAAGAAATCCGTCCATTGATAAGCAGAGGCTAGGTAAAACGTTCCCATTGCAATGAATCCACACGCAACATAGAATATTCTATGAGGTCCGTGTCGTATCAAGGAAAATAGGAACTTTATTCCCCAATCCCGTGTGGAGGCAGGGTCGAATACCTCAACCGTGACCCTCCGAGCCGTAGGAGGCGACGAAAAGGGAAGTCTCAGATTTGAAACAGTAAAATATGATCGCCAGTCCCAAGGGTCTCGGACCCCAGAAAGACTGCGCTGACAAGGCCAGCAGCATATATAAAAGACAGACCCGTCCTCTCGTCAGAGAGGGCGCCCCTCAGAAATAAGACCGTAACTGTCAAACGGCAAAAATTAATGTCTGGTCATGAGCCCCAGATGGTGCTCGACAGCAAGACTTACTGACTGACTGACCGTCAGTCGCAATGTGACTTTGACTTTGACTAGTTGCCCCTTGAAGTGATCCCCACATGGAGGCGGGTTCAAATATCTCCACCGTAGCCCTGCGATTCATAAGAGGCGACGAAAAGGGAACCCAGTACGTGGGGGTGCAATTGGGCCACCCTATTCCTAGGGGATATAAGTATGAGCACCTGGCCCTCATGGTTGGGGGAGTCTCGAATTTGAGACAGTTAAATGTGGTTATCAGTCCGGCGAGCCTTGGACCTGAGATTGACTGCATTGGAGAGGATAAACAGCAACTGTAAACGACAAACATTTTAATTTTATTCTGAATTGAACGTAACGTTAATTTTATTCTATCGCAATATCTTGAAAAATGATTGAAATCGATTTTGTAATTTGTATGTACGTTTTTAACAGGTTAATTATAAAATTGAAACATACAGAAAATTATACTAATTTTGTTTGTAACGTTGTTAGACTAAGCAAAAAACATCCTAAATATTCGCCATCCTTGTGTGCAACGACATGGGTTGTTCCAATTTTCAGACAATATGTACAAGTGGTTTGTGAGCGTCTTTGCCATCAACGATCTTTGAAAGCCGTGTCCGAAGGAGGGTAATTATGTGATTATTACTTTTAGTGCTTTTAGTGCTTATGTGTTGGTATTCGGTGGGTCTAGATCGTCAAGATAGCGCAAGATAGGTCTAGATTTTGCACAAATATGTCCATAGCAGGAAAGCCGTTATTTTCTTTTGTTAGAATTAGCCATCTTTTAAAGAGATATAGTTCTAGTGAAGGTATAAAATATCAAGGTTTCACATATTACCCAAGGTAAATATTAATTCACATCTTAATTCACATAACCTATTGTCTGGAGGAAGGTTTGGCTTTATGGATATTAATTTTGTAACTGCCAGGTTCCCGGATGAGAAGGATCCACCCTACGAACCTACGAAACTTCTCATGGTACAGCGTGTGAAACCAGTGAAAGGGAATCCATACTGGGACAAGAAATTGCTTAAACATTTCGGTTTAGATGGCAAGGTGAGCTTTTTGTAATGTAGAATAAAGAGATATGGTTACTTTTATTAGTGACTTATAACACAGGCTCTGGATTGGATGAGTGGGTTTATTAACATCTTATGCAATCAGCTCGCACTTACAAGCAATACAGTGCTAGCTCTGATTTACACACGCACTAGGATTCCCAGTCTTCTCTAGTCATCTCCTGGTAACGGAATTAAAAGAGTCTCACTGTGACGAAGTCTTTCGATCACCCACTGAGTCTTCACAGGCCGACTTCTAATTCTTCTTCAATTCTCTTGGTGTCCACAGCTCCTGGTTCCAATCTGCTCTCTCTAGTTGAGCTGTTTGTGCCTGCTCTAGTTAATCTATTCCTACACAGTCAAAGTCACATTGTGACTAATGGTCAGTCAGTCAGTCAGTAAGTCTTGGTGTCAAGTCCCATCTGGGACTCATGATTAGTAATGTTATATTTTAGCGTCCTGTTGCACTGATTTATGTCCATGATTTAGTCTATCCGTCTTACAGTGCATACATTTATTCACCTTACTCTTCTCTCTTGCACTACATGTTTCAGCACAAAAGTGCCATCTTCAGGTGCTTTTCGATGTACGTCAAACTACTTCATTGCATGCCCTGTTGTCTTTATACTAAAATATATATTCATCATATATATTGATAAATTTTAAATATTAAAAATATNCATGTAGTGCAAGAAAGAAGAGTAAGGTGAATAAATGTATGCACTGTAAGACGGATAGAATAAATCATGGTCATGATTAGATATTTATTACAGTTTGACAGTTATTGTCATGTATTTTGTGGGATGCCCTTGCTGACGAGAGGATGGGTCTGTCATTTGTACATGTTGCTGGTCCATGCCAGTGCAGTTTTTCTTGGGTTCTGAGTCCCTTGGGACTCAAGACCATATTTTACTGTCTCAGACCTGAGACTTCCCTTTTTGTTACTTCCCTTGGGACTCGAAGACCATATTTTACTGTCTCAGACTTGAGACTTCCCTTTTTGTTACTTCCTATGACTCGCAGGGTCATGGTGGAGGTATTTGACCCTGCTTCCACATGGGTTCTGATGTTAATTCAAAGTCATATTGCAACTGACAGTCAGTCAGACAGTGGGCTTATGACCAGATATTTATTACTGTTTGACAGTTACGGCCTTGTTTTTTTTTGGGACGAGAGGACGGGTCTGTCTTTTGTCAGAGTCATTTATCTGCCGTAGTAAGTTATTTGTCATAATGTAAAAGATGTTTACATTTTGCATGTTAAACATGTAAAAAATGTATATAAAATATATACAGGGCCTCTGTCAGTCCAGGCTCAGTACAGCAGATTTTGCCCTATTTCTAGTAGTATTCGCTACCACGGCAGTCTAGTCACTTTAACAGGTGTATGCTTGACCGTCGACAAGTTTAAGCCTCTTATATTTTCTATGTCTGGCTTCTCCTTGTCCAACATTGCGAAAAATTTCGTTATCATGGTTTTGTATGACTTCTGCTTGCCTGCATAATTCTGTTATATAATCATATACGTATGGAATTTAGAAAGCCATGAGTAAATCATGAACCGGTGTGTGCCTTGGAAAATTGTCAATAATGTGGAGAACCTAGTTTTGCAGGTGCTGCAATTTCATTAGTTCACAGCTCTTGTCATATATCCACAGCACAGACCACATGGAAAACCTCTTCTATTCTTGTAGAGATGTGTTACAACACAATTGTGTAGCAAGCAGTCTTGATGTGTATTATAGCAATGGACTCCCAACTGTTGTCATGCAATAATAGATGAAGATGTGTACCAGCTGTTTCATAGAAACAGCAATTATTCTATTACATGTGTATTCGTTACCACAAGAACAATGGGAATCCATGTGACATTATTGTTATCAGGACACGACTGTGTTCTAGTCTGATGAGTTCTGCGAGAGGAAATATTTACTTCTGCTTTTGAGGCATTTTATTCAGGCTTTGATGTAGTTTATGCTGGCAGTTTCATTACCAAAGCATTCAGTTCATTTTATATGCAGAAATTTGTACACTAATAAAGTAATATGTATATTTTAGCAGTACCTTGTTAGTAGGAATGTGATCAGGTAATCTCAGTCGCATTGTACACATCTGTCATTTGAAATCACATCTGAAATCTGCCATATTGGCCTTTGAATTGCCCTGCCTTATATTACTTTAATTTGCACTGTGTAGGTTATAACTTTTAGTTTAAATTAAGTCACCAAATGTAAATGGACTTAGAATCTAAGCGCAACAACATTCAGTTTGTTTAGATTATGCTCTGAATGGAAATAGGTATGAATAATGAATGACTTATTCAGTAAATATGGACCTTGCTGGTGAAAGGTAAGTCAGAATGTTTTATGTTGTGAATGTGAATGCCATTGGGAAGGTACCAGCCCTACTCTAGTTCTTGATGAGCTTTGGTTTTGTTTACTATGTGAACTTATTAAAGTATCCACCAACCAATAGGAGAGAATTTCAAATGTGGAAAAGGAATTGGGTTCAGCCAGACTCAAGATCAATATTTTTGGTACTTAAATGTCAGTGTGTGGTGTAGGTAGGTTTTGGAGTTGCTGCCATGTTTTCTGTGACGGCACTGTTGATATTGTAAGTGTATTTGTAAAAGCCCAAGACCCAAAGCATGACATTGGAAATTACTTCCAGTGATGAGTCAACAAGATTTGGCTCTTGGTTTTTGTCTTTAAAATAGATCATTGGTTTCATTTTGAAAAGGTTAGGGTTTTGATTTTGCTGTCTGCCACATTAGCACTGCCAGCCATCAGAGTTTATAGTTGTAAAATCTGAACCTGAAGATCAGTCTCAGAAGCAATGTTTTCCCTGAGCCAGGGATGCAAATGTGCACGCAGGCCATAGTATATTCTGAGCAGCAGTTGTGTTGGCTTGGGCGTCTGGGCCAGTGCGAGGAGTACAGCGTTTAAGAAAAAGTCCATAACAGACACTAAATTTATAAGCTCCCAGCAAATAACAATTTATGTTTTTCAGTTCTATTTTTAGTAATTCAAATTGACAAGGCTGCACCATAGCTCAAGCGGTTAGTCGCTGGCTTCCCACCGTGGCAGCCCGGGTTTGATCCCGGGTCTGGTCAAGTGGGATTTGTGGTGGAAAAAGTGACGCTGGGGCAGGTTTTCTCCGAGTACCTCATTTTCCCGTGACAATCTTCATTCCACCAATTGCTCCACAATCACCCTCACCTATCATCTGGGGCTGGTACAATAAGCCAGAAGTGGCCGCAGTACAAGGGACTTAGTCCCACCCCTCTAGCAATAAAAAAAAAAATTCAAATTGACACTATACTAAACTGCCATTCACAGTGGCTGTACAGTCTGAGGTGTGAAATGTCTTAACCTGCTTGAACGCCGGAATCGTGGGTTTGAATTCCACTCAACGCATGGATATTTGTCAGCATTTATTTTGTGTCCTGTGTAGGTAGTGGCCTTGTGTCGGGCTGATCCCCCATCCAAGGAGTCCTACCATCCAATATTAAAAAACTGAAGTGAAACGGATGCCTTATGCTCCAAGTGGGAGCAGCAGGAATAGATATGTACTAAACTGATAGAAGTGTGCAGGAGACGAGACTTGTGCATGGAAGTGTGACAGCCACTGTGCGGCCACGCAGACATGCAGCTTACGAGGGATCTTGCTCAGAAGGTTATTAGAATTGTAAATATGGCAGGCAAAAGAAAAGAAAAACTCCATGATCTTAGTCTGCAAGCGAACTATACCAACCAAGCGACTGCCGCTTCTCGGCAAAGTTTAGTGCCAACTTTTGTGGATAGAGGGTGTCACGTGGTCAGCGCAATGGATCCCCACGGCCGTTAATTTCGGTTTTCTAGACCAGAAATATGGCAGCATGGTGGAAAACATTTCAAGATACTTTGGGTCTTCCATTAATATGTAAGTACTGTGTTTTGGAAGCTGTCAGCTATCAGTTGTACTTGCTCATCCACTGGTTGGGTGGAGACAAAAATCAAGTCTTGACATTGACAGAGAAGCCTCCGCTGTAGTGAGGATCCTGAGTTTGTGACTGTATCATTCATTTTAAGTTGATCAGTTGAGGGGGAGGTGTAGCAGGATCCACAGAAAGAATGATCACTAGGAACAGGGAGTGTAAGGAGTGACACACATACCCAGGAACCCCAACAGTATAACACACGCAGTCGCAGGAGCACGACACAACAAAAGCACAACACACAAGATAATGAAGGAGTGCTCCAACAAAGGAGAATGGGCGTGACTGACGTAGTGAGGGGCGACGTAGCGATGTGGTATCCTAAACAATTTTAATATTTTTAACGTTTGACAATGTATATGATAGATACATATTTTAGTTATTTTAATGTGTGAACATGGCATGCAATGAACTGGTTTGACGTGGATAAGTAAGCACCTGAAGATGGCATTATTATGCCGAAACATGTAGTGCGAGGGAGAGAAAGAGATAAATGAGTGTATGCACTGCAAGACGGATTAAATAAATCGTGGAGTGTAAGGAGGTTCTTCTTGTAGAGTAGAGCTGAGTTGAGTTTATTTGCATTCCATAGATCCTTCTTTGGGCTAAACCGAATGTTGTAGAATGTCATGTTATTTCACATGTAGATGTGTGTAGAGTAGATGGAAAATAATCTCCAGAGTAAAAGGAGTGAGTTATGGACAAGAGAAAAATCTTTTGCCCCTGCCAGGAATTGAACTCCAATTCCCCAGTCTTTCGGCCTGTAGACTAGGCAGGCACTGTACCACCTGAGCAGTCCCGGCTTTGCCCACTAAAAATAGTTTCAGTTGGTATTGGAGCCACTGAGCAGCTGTTAGCTTCTCAAGAAGAGCTCAATTCCATCAAGTTAGTTTCTGGGAAAACAGGGCTCTACTGGTCTCCATTTCTCTGTACACATAATGCGCATGATGAAGTGAACTCAGGTGTTAGTCACTTTTGAAGAAGTATTTTTCATGTAGAGTTGAAGTTCACTTCACATCTTAATATTTTGTTGTTCAATTTATTTCAGAAAAATAGCATTGCTATTGTGAAAAACATCCCGGAAGTTAATGAAAATCTGTGGAAGATTAAACATCTGGTGAAGATAACGCCTATTCAATGCCCCAATGGCATGCCAGAAGAAGGTGATTATGAAGGGACATATTTGACAGAATACGGAGAATTTAAGGTGTCTCCTCGACTGAAGATCGACCCAAAACAAATTGAAGCAACAGAAACATTTGTGAAAGATGAAAGAAAGTTTGATGGAGAAACTTTACGAAAACTTTTGACGCTTAAATGGCTACATGGTTGGTGATATGTAGCTTGGTGTTTGTAGATGTAGACAGAATTGAATAACACTGCTTAATACGAGGGTAAGTCAATAAGTAAGTTACAAATGGATATACAACTTAAACAAATAAGACTACTGATTTGAAAAATGCTTTTATTTCTCAACATATTCTCCCTGTACATTGAGGCACCTGTCCCATCGTTTCACAAGCCCCTGAAAATCAGTAGCATACAATTCTTTGGGCTGCTGTCGGAACCAGGCGTGTTCACAGGGCATGGCATACCTCATAATGCATGACAGGTTAGGTTTTCACAAAGTCTGTGCATGATGGGTGCCACATATGGTGACCCCACAACACAAAATGCAAAGAATGGGTCTGGAATTACAGCATTTCAATCGCTACCACAATGGACACGATATGCTAGCCCGAATTGTCACAGGTGATAAGTGTTTGGTTCACCATTACCAGCCCGAGACAAAGCGTGCGTCAGTGCACTGGAAACATCCTGCTTTGCCTGCCAAAAAATAGTTTAAGGTGACACCATCCTCCAGGAAAGTGATGCTCACAGTCTTCTGGGATCACGAAGCCATACTGCTCGCCGCATTTCAGCCTCAAGGCGACGCAGGATGTTTCCACAGCATTGACGCACATTTTGTCTCGGGCTGGTAATGGTGAAACCAAGACTCATCTCCTGTGACAATTTGGGCTAGCATATCGTGTCCTTCATCGTGGTAGCGATTGAGGTGCTGTAATGCCAGACCCATTCTTTGCATTTTGTGTTGTGGGGTCAGCATGCGCGGCACCTATCGTGCACAGACTTTGTGAAAACCTAACCTGGCATTATGATTTATGCCATGCCGTGTGAACACACCTGGTTCCAACAGCAGCCCAAAGAATTTTATGCTGCTGGTTTCCAGGGGCTTGTGAAATGATGGGACAAGTGCCTCAATGTACAATGAGATTATGTTGAGAAATAAAAGCATTTTTCAAATCAGTACTCTTATTTGTTTAAGTTCTATATCCATTTGTAACTTACTTATTGACTTACCCTCATATTTGTTTTGAATGATCACCTTTACATATTGAAGTGATGAATTTTTAATGGATTGGGTGACTTTCATGTAGTGTGAAGATGTGTTGATGTTAAACATGTGGGATATTATAAAGGCCATTTAAAAGCACCATGTTTGGATTTTGTGTCATATTCAATGACAAAATAAGTATGAATTATAGGTGATCATTAGGGCTCGGATTTTTCTGACCTAAAAACTTTGAAAGTATGCATGCATTTATGCCCTAAAAATGGCAAAATGTGACAGAATGGCCCACAAAAAATAATTAAATATTTAACAAAAATTCCTAAGAATGGCAATTTATTAAGAAGTTTACAAAGTTATTTTGTCCTGAATAAATATCTTTAAGCTCTGAAGCCTCGATCACAGCACATTGCTGACCCCACAAAGAGAAAAGCTGAATGGCGTTTTATTGAAAAGTGTACAAAGTAATTTTTTCTGAATAAATGTCTTTAAGCCGTGAAGCATCCATCACAACACAATGCTGACCCTGTAAAGAGAAAACATGAATGAAAGTACTGTTTATTTTAGCGTGAAAAGTAAAGTAAAGTGTGCCAATAGTTGCAGGTAAATAATTTGTACGGTACCTTAATCTTCCTTTTCAGTAGAGTTGCACTGAATGACAACATGCATTTTCAAATTCTCGAACTTGAAGGACCTCCGATTGTCACTAACAGTGGCCTTGTATTTGGAGGAACTCCTTTCTACGTCGCAAGATGTCACAGGGGCATACTTAAAACAAGTCAAATCACTTGCGTCAAGTTCTAATTCACTGTTGTCAAATTCAACTTCTTTGCCACAAAGAATGTCAGAAATTGTACACAGTGTTGAATATCCAGGATTTCGTTGGAGCACATTTTGTAATTTTGCACTAATTTTCACAGCAACTTCGCCCTGTGCTTGATGTAGTTCACTTTCAACTTTCTTAACAATTTGTAATGCATTGCACAGTTGCATGCCCACAGCTTCAAGTCTAATGATGGATTTTGATATCACACTGAAATTTGATTTTATGTACGCTAGATTTCTTGACGTGGTTGATGAAAACAAATTTTGTACAGTTCGAATTGAAGATGAATCATCTCTGTCAAACTTCATGAAGATATTTTCAATCACACTGTAGTGTGTGCAATAATAATCTGCAGCATCGAGCCAAGTCCCCCATCGTGTTAGAATAGGCTTAGGGGGAAGGGGTAGTGATGGAGCCTCTTCTTTAAACTTCTGCAATCGAAGTGGAGCCTTAACAAAAATTTTCTTCCCATTTGCTATTAATTTATCTACATCAAAGTAGCTCTCTCGCACCTCTTCTGCTACCCTATGCAGAGCATGTGCGAGACACGTTGCATGAATCATTTTGGGATACAGTACCTGAAGTCCCTTTGCTGCCTTTACCATATATGGAGCGGCATCCGTTAAGAAGAGGAGCACATTCTCTCGTTCTACCTTATTTGGCCACAGCAAATTCATCGCATTGTCGAAAACAACAGCAATGGAAGAATTATTCACTTTTTCCAACACCTCACATGCCAATAGGAATATATCTCGAGGCTGGTCATCTTTCAGTATACCAACAACAACATTCGCTACAAATCTACCACTTACGTCGGTAGTTTCGTCGATAGACACCCATATTTTATTATTTCCGACACAGTTTCTTATTTTATTGATGGTAACATCGTAGCAGGAAGTGAGATAGTTCTTTCTTAATGTGGATTCGGTCGGAATGGGATGAGTTGTATATTTTTCGAGGAAGTTTCGGAAACTAGGTGTATCTACTTTATGTAATGGAATATTTGATGAAACCATCATAGTACAAAGATCCTTTGAAAACTCGGAGGCATTTCCTGATTTCGGTGAACTGGAGGATGACTTTTCAAACAACAATCGCTGTCTACTTTCCGTGGTAATTTCTCTGTTTACACAGCTTCTATGTTTAGCTGTATTGCAGTGTTGTTGCACCGTAAAACGTTTGTCTGCCGTAACTTTCACTTCACACATTTTGCAAAATAAAATTTCTCCGTCAGTACTAAAATATTTGTCACCAAACTCTTTAATAAAACCACGCAACTTCACGCTATTAGAGCACTTGACTTTAGGCATCTTGAAACTATACTGAACAACTGAAGTTATGAATACAGTACTGTATTGGACGGGTTTCGGGGAGAGGGTAGAAATTTACCGCTTTGTGGATGGAAAAATTTTTCACCAATATGCAAGAAACAAACTGGACTTCAGGTATCACTGCAGTGGAGGAGAAAAAGAGACACAAAAAGACAGACAGACAGACAGACAGAGGCAGAGGTGGCAATTTCTCTTTTCAAAGTGGTTGATTCTACGCCAGGTCAAGAACCGTTACCCTTCACACTGTACAGTATTCCTTCAAATCCCATTACACAAGGCCAAATATTTCTAAGAAATGAAGTTCCAAATAACATCGTTGCCCATACTTGCAAATATATTTCTGAGCAATAAGTGAAACTCGCCTAAAATATGACCAGAAATATGATTTTATATCACTTTGAGCCCAAATATGACCTAAAGCTAAAATATGGTTCAAATATGCATTTATATGACCAATAAAAACCGTATTTTCATGTTCACAAGAGTCAGAAATGCGTTTATATTTAATTATACATGTGAAAAGATGCCAGGATAAAAATATGACATGTCATAGAAATCCGAGCCCTAGTGATCATCATGTTCCTGCAGTATAGTTTGATGGATGGAACTCTCTTTTACCCTAACCTGTTTTTCCATGTTCGTTCTTCCTTCAATTTCCAGTTGCCATTTTTTCTTTAATATATACAAAATTGAGTATTGACCCATTCCATGGGTCTGTGTGTCAGTACATTTGCTGAAGAGAACTCAACGCAAATAATCCTTACTTTCCTAAGCAGAATGTATGGAACATCAAAGATAAAAAATTCTTCTCAGTGTCACAAAGTTTTGATTAACTTGCCCATGAAAATGGTTACAGATGTCAATACAAATTACGTACTGTGTGGTGGAAAAATGGCATTTTTAAATAATAGAAACCCAGACATTTCTACATATTTAAATCTATGTAGCTGTATTTAATTTTCTTTTAGTGCGTGTAATAACCGAATCCTTAATAATTCATTCATTTGTCACCAATTGGACAGTAAATAATTGATTATGAGTTTAATGCTTGTTAGTTATAAGGGAAGAGTTTATTGCAGAGAGTCTTCATTATACAATTTATTTAAAATAAGTCACCTACATAATTACAGAATATCACTTCTCTTTGTCACATTGATTAAATTTTCATTTTTGTAAGAAATTTGAAGAGTATAGCTATTAGGATATCATTTATAATTCCTTTTCTGAATCCGGCTGATAAGTCATGTTTATTTTACATTCTTATTATCAGTGTTCTTCCACTTAAAAGGCGATGTTGTCCCTGTGTTTGACTAAGTACTGTGTCATGAAAGTGCATGGGGGAGTGAATGTATAGATCCACATTTTCTTGACATGGCACTAGTTGGAAGTGAGTGGTCAGCTACACTCCCCGGCTATTTTACCCCTCCTGGGAAAGAGCCCCCAGTACCCATTGGATAGGAGGTTTGGTGGGCCCCAGAGCTGGTCTGGATGACGTGGAGAAAATTCTTGATCCTGCTGGGCCTCGAACTCTGACCCCTCAGTTGTTCGACCCATAGCCAGTCGCTATACTGACTACACTAGCCTGGCTTCCCATGTTCTTCCATTGCATAACAAAAATCATCTTGGGTCATCAAGAGTGTCAACGTTTGCTTAAAATAAAAAAAAAAACAAATTCTCCATCATTAATTGATACAGTGTTAGAAAAACTTGCTTTTTACTTAATTTTGATACTGCTGATTGGCCTAAGAAGATGTATTTTATTCATGATGAAGCATAAGATCTTGCATAAATTTCATCAATTGTGGTACCTGCCTGTACCTTCAATGTCTGACAGATAGAAATTTTAGGTACCATTTTCCATTGAAAGAAGCGTGTTTTATGATGCAGAATCTGTTTAGGGCGTGGTAAGCAGAAGACCAGGGTCAGGATCTGGATATTGTTATGTAAAAATATAAGGAGGGGTAAACTGCATTCTCACAGTAAAGGCGATGGTTTGGTGAAGGTATATAGCAGTTAAGTGGCAATGGAGAAAGGTAAAAGATCTTTGATGGACATCCACCAGACAGTTTGGAAGGATGATATTTTGAGAAGGTAAGTGACAGGTCCATAATTCAATATAAAAGCCATGTCCTGCAAATTAAATATAAATGGAAGAGTTCTGTCTTTCATGATATGATGCTCTGCTTGCTATCAACTTGATTCTGGTTTATTGCTTGGAATACTACTAAACCCTGATGCCAGAGGTGATATCAAGCTCCTAAACATCTGTGGAATTTCACCAGGCTAGACTGCATAATATCCCAGAAAATGGAACACTTCATAACCACTACTGTGAGAGCCTCAAGTTCCACATAATATACATATAATGACAGCTTTTCCAGTTGCCCTGAAACAGTAAAAGAATTTAGGATTTGCACTACCCACAGTGGAGGTTATAAGAGTACTATCTTCTGGGATATATAACTATATTTAGGTCATTGAAAGTTAACAGACGATTTGGAGCCTGAAGATGGAACCTACATACCTCCAAAACATTGGTTGACACTTTTAACAGACTGCACAGTGTTATATCCCAGAACACATCAACATTCAAAGAATTTTGTTTACAGTTTCCTTTCAACAGCTTCTTCCAGGCCATAGTATGCCTGGCCATGATCATATATACAACCACTTTGAGGGAAACCAATTAAGATGGGTGGTAGGAGTATTTACAGGACACTGTGACCTAAAAGGAGATCTTTTCAAACTGGGATTGACAGATGACCCCACTTGTGAAAGGTGCCTAGAAGAAAATGAATCAGCCACACATATCCTATATGACTGTGAGGCCATAGCTTATGTAAAATTTCGTCACCTGGGCCAGTTCTTTATTGAACCAAGTGACTAGCATGACGCCCCCACAAAGTCCTACATTTCATTCAAAATGTAGGATTAATAAAGGGCTAATCAAAGTGGAATCGCAATAGACTATTGATGGTCGCGGCGCAATGGCTGGATTATTATGGCCCACCCCTCATACTTTCAAGCTGGAAGTGTAAGAATTAGGCTGTAACGTTGTGGACAGATTCATTTGGCTCAGGTTAGAGATCAGTTGAATTATACCACGCGCCTGTTAATCCAATCTTATG